TTAAGTATAAGATTTCTGATTGATAGGGTTTTTATGTTACTGTGATTCAACGTTGATCATGAGATTTCCATATTTTCACATATCAGCATGATAGAGGTGGTGCGCCGTATGGGATTAAGGTTGCATGGGCAATGTTGCAGTTTAGTTCCGAAAAGAAGGTCCTGAGTGTTAGTCGGCATGAGAGATTTTAGATGTTTAGAGGATGCTACCACTATCTGGTGTCACCTGAAGAGAGTGTGTGTTGTGGAAGACGCATTGTGTTGCGACGTGCGGATGCTTGACTAGTACTACAAAGACCGTTGGGTGGTTGATTGCTGATGTTCAGGTTTTGCTACACGGTGCGGAAGTCTTATGGAAGTACTTCGTATGGTGATTATGTATGAGTAACTTGTTAGTTACTTGAGCGGGAGAGTTGAAGATCGAACATGGAGATTCTTATATTCTTGAGGCTTAAAGGCTGGATGTTCTCTGGGGCAGACTATTCCTTGATTGTAGACTGTGAAGATGTGTTAAGAGTTACTCATCTGATGGTATGTGTTACACATAGATTACTGTAGACTTTTGAAAGGTTATTTACCCGCTTTGGGACTATCGGGAATGGTTTGGGGCTCACTGGCAGGCCTAATAAGAATGTGCATTCTATACCAAATTAGGTTTGTTTACTCAGCACAACAATTGATAGGGGTGCCATCGGCTAGAGTTGATCTTATTCATCTCCTGGCGTGTCTCTTGTGTTGCTCTTTTATGATACGATGGGTTGTGAGACTGCTTGACTATCTATACACATGATTTGATTCTGTTTGGTCCTTTGTGGCGAGTTTCGAGCGGGGTGGTTCCCGGTGTGTTGAATTATTTATTGCGCCATGGTTATGGTTTCCTGTTTGTGGTATATTGTGCTATGCATTTCATCATGGTTATGGTCATGCACTTTGCGTGTTTGTTGATGATACACATGTGGTTGTTGATTGTGAGCATTATGGCTCGATGGGAATTCCATGTGGATTGCTATGCTGGGACCGGACTACGTGCCGCAATGGAGTTATGATTGAACATGATTCTTCATTCTTATTTCGTGTGCTTTGCCTCTCCCTTGTGAGATAGGTTCATAACGTTGTGCTTTGTGGTGGTGATTGTTGAACTTGTTGGGTGGTTCTCTTATTTAGCTTTCCTTCCATCTTTGGTTATGCTCGAGTTGTTGCTTGTTGGGTGCACGAATCGCGTCGTATATGACTAAAAGGCATTTGGTGCGGCTTGTCGGTCGAATAGCTTGTATTGGGTGAGATGATATCATTGGACCTGGAATAAGTGCAACCGGACTTGGATAAGGTACATTTGGATTAAAATGTCATTATTCAACTTAGAGTTTGGCAATGGTCCTTGTCAGGCGTAAGGACTCCACAACTTATTGATTTCATGGGTGGTTATGAATTTTTGCATGTTTTTTTCATCATTAGCGGTGTTGTGAAGGTTTGGAACAAGGTTTTATTTGATACGTGGTATTTTACTAGTACCGGGTTTGATAATGAGTGGCTATTATGGTCGGGAGTTATTGTTAAAAGTACGTGAGTTATGGGGTACATCATGTGATTATATCTTGGACTATGGTTGGGACTTGATGCGACTTGTTTAGACTATATATATATNTCTAAGGTTTATGGACTAAGGTAGAAGAAAGAATCTTCAGTTAGGTTATATTGACGGGCTTTAACAAATTATGGTGACGAGGGATCGCCCATGGGTAGGTGTATGGTGATTTTATATAGTGGTTTGCTGGCGTTGGAATGACTCTTGCACGTTCGAGGATGAACGTATGTTTCAGTAAAGGAGCATGTAATGACCCGATCGGTCGTTTTGAGTATTGACATCCCGTTCGGCGGTTTAAGGTCTTGAGTATCTTCGTATGATGCAATATCACTTGCGTATATGATTAGTTTCGATGTTCGAGAGGTTCGGGATTGATTTTGAAGAGAAATTTTTATTTATTTAGAGGCTTAAAGTTGAAGAGTTAACCAAGGTTTGACTTTTTTGTAAACGGTCTAATATTTGTGTTTTGAGGATTCCAATAGGTTCGTATAGTGATTTTGGACTTAGGCATATGTCCAGATTTAGATTTGGGTGTTCCTAGGTTGATTTGGCTCTTTTGGCGAAAGTAGGAAATTTAAATGTTTAGAAGGTTCATAAGTATGACATGGAGTTGACTTTTGATGATATCGGGTACGTATTGGTGTTTCGGAAGTTGGAATAGGGTCGCTTCATCATTTGAAACTTGTGTGAAAGTTTGGGTTCATTTTGGATTGGTTAGGCTTGAATTGGACGCTTGGATTGAAGTTTGAAGTTTATGAACTTAAGAGATTGATCTTGATCGACGATTCGTGATTTTGATGTTATTTTGTGTGATTTGAGGCATCGAGTAGGTCCGTGTTGTATTTTGGAACTTGTTGGTATGATTGGATGGGGTCCCAAAGGGCTCAGGTGAGTTTCAGATCATTTCAAAGTTTGAAGGCAGTTCTGGTTTGATGTTTTCGCACTTGCGAGGTTTGGTCCGCATGTGCGAGTCCACAGAAACAGTTGTGAGTTCGCAGAACCGAGAAGAGGTAGCGCATCTGCGAAAACGTAAAAGCGGACAGATGACGGCAGATGCGAGGTTTTGTTCCGTAGAAGCGGGATTTGGGGACTTAAGTGATTTCCGCATTTGCAAGGGTTTTTCCGCAGATGAGGCATCGCAGAAGCGACTGATGGATCGCATAAGCGAAGTTAGATGGGCAGAAGCTTATATTCGAAAAGTTTAGACTTTTTATCACATTTTGAGATTTAGAGCTCGGATTTAGGTGGCTTTTGAGATTATTTTCACTACTTTGATTGGGATAAGTGTTCTTGATTCGGATTTGATTATTATTCATGATTTTATCCTTGATTTTAGATTTCGATTGGTGAATCTATGAGAGAAAAATTGAGTTTTTATTTTTTGCAAAACTGTTCTAAAATGTAAAATGGAGATTTGAACCCTGATTTCGATTTGATTTTGGATGAACTTATATATTTGGACTCGTATTCGAATGGGTGATCGGGATTTATGAATTTTGTCAGGTTCCAAGCCTGAGTTGACTTTTTTGGTTGACTTTGATTATTTGATTAAAGATTCGACCTTTATCGTTTGAGTTTGAATCCTATGGCATTATTTGATGTTATTGAGTTGTTTTGGCTAGATTCGAGCCGTTAAGAGGTTGATTCGCGCGGGAAGGCATTTTTAGAGTATTGATTTGGCTTGTTTGAGGTAAGTACCTTCCTATCTTTGGTTGAGGGAATTTTCTTACTAATTGATATTGTTTGCAACATGCGAGGGTGATGTATATATGAGGTGACGAACGTATACACATGTGCTATGGATGTTCATACTCGGGGTAGATTCTAGCTTACCCTATGCCTTGTTTGGTTGTGTATTTTACTTAATTATATGTATTATTTAATTAATCGACTACGTGAGCAAAATAAACCATGCTAGAGAAATGTTGAGGCTATTGGTACCTTATGTTGAACATGATGAGCAAATCTTGAGATTTATGCTAAGCTTGCCTCGGAGGTAGATACACGTATGTTATGAACACACATTCGTACTTGTTCTTGTGTTGTACCTTGGTTGGGACGTGTGCACTCTATGACACATATGTGATCCTTTATATGACTACTTGAACTTGGTTGCTATATCTGATTTTGCCGTAGTCATGTTTTATATGTTGAACCACATCCGCACTTTTGTTGATTATGTCCTTGTGCACTTTATTGATGAGTTAGAAGGGTATGCTTCTTGATGATGATTTGTTATTTTGCGTTTTTGTGATTGTGGCACATGTAAATATATTGGGGGGAGTGATACAGGTGGATATTGTGATTTTTTAGGACAGAGCAATTCAGTTGGATATTGTGATTTTTTCTGACCGGAATGATATAGGTAGATATTGTAATTTTGTTAGGATGGAGCGATACAGGTGGCTATTGTGATTTTTTCAGGACAAAACGATACAGGTGGCTATTGTGATTTTGTCTGGGCGGAGTGATACAGTTAGATATTATGATTTGTGTAAGGGTAGAGCGATACAGTTAGATATTGTGATTGTGTCAGGGTGGAGTGATATGAGGCCATGAGGGTGGATATTGTTATTGTGACAAAAATATGGGCACGGAGTACCATATATTTGTGTTTCTATTTGATGACTTGCTGTCAGAATTGGGTGTTGCCTTGATTTCGAAAGTGAATTCCTTATGATTTGTCGTGCATTTTACATGCTTTTAAGTTGCACCTAACATGTTAATCTATGCGTCTGTTGTTATTTAACGATTTAATTGCCAGGATGGAATTACCTGTATTGAGTTGACATCTCGTGTTTTGTTGAGTTGTTGATAGCGTAATGGATTAATGTAAAAAGGAAGTTGTCATCATGTATTAATACATATGATTCTTGAAAGGTTCTCTTGAACGCTTTATTTGATAATTGATACGGAATCGGATACATGTTGGGCACCTTTACTGTTGATATTCATTATTCTGTAATTGTCTATATGGAATATTTTCTCTGTGTTATACATATTATCGTGTTGCACAAGTTCTGCAAGTGAGTATCTTTTGACTTAAAAAAAAACCTGTCACTACTTCTCTAAGATTAATCAAGATACTTATTGAAAACATGGAGTCGGTTGTACTCATACTACACGTTTGCACCTTGCGTGTAGATTCTGGAGCTGAGTAGTTATGAAGATGGAGCTTTACATTGGAGACATACCAGTATGCCGGATTCATGCTACCTTTTTGTCCATGGTAGCTTAGGATTTCATTTCTTTTTATGTAACTTTCAAACAAATGTTGTATTTATTTCTTTCACCAGCTTTGTAAATCTAAATCATAGTGACTCATGACTTATACTACCGGTCCTTGGGATAGTTGTATTGAATTCCATTGCAGTATTTATTAAATATACTAGGTGGCAATGGCCTGTGCCAGCACATGCCCAACATGAATTTAGTTTTATTTTTCACTTGCGATGATGATAGTAGATACAGTACTTCGTATTGAAATCAAAATAGATGACCATAATCCAAAAGAGTTTTTATACAACATGAGCATAATTTTGCTCTTCCAACTCTACTTGTGCTCTATTTCAACTTGCTACTTGATGCAAGGATATCTTGTTAGCCACCTTCCGATGAGCTCTATAATTGCTCAATAGTGTTTGTTATTAGGTTGCATTCAACTCAATTCAGGACCACCTTCTTTCCTTGACAGAAGACTTGATAGTGATGCTGCAACACAGAAAATGAATTATACCAAATGGATATTGAAAGCAGCAGAGCAAAATGATAAAACCTCCATAGTAGAGATTGCCAAGGTTTCCAAGTACAAATGACCAATGAAATCTTTTTCTGGCCAGCATAAGTTAATAATCAAATGGGTAATATATTTGAAAACACAACAACATACCTATCCTTTGCCAGCAAGGAGATATGTCGAAAAGAGCGGGCAGCTTCTTTCCTTATACATAATAGAAATGCAGATTGTCAATACTAACTACGCCTCTTAAACAAAATAAAACTTATCAAGTTAAAAGTAGCCAAAGACCCACAGACCTCACAAATTTCAATGTCTAAAGTAGACAAAGCAACAACTACTGCAAAGAATAAGAAGCTATAAATGTTTTGAATTGTTTTGAGATTCCCTTCCAAGAAGGTTTTGATCAACAAAAAGGTAATCTTCCCCTTCCAAGATTTTTAGAGACCTCTTGCTGGACTAAGCAATTTTAGTATACTTTTCGATAAGGTAATAAGCGATTTTAAATACATTTCCTCAGATCCTTCAAAACAGTAAGCTCTAAAACATGCTCTTCTAATCTTTCAATGTATTACCGAGTCCAACGGCGAGCAATGATGAAAAATTAGAGATAAACCAAGTGTACTGGAATATAATCATTGAAAAAATTACGCCCACTTCATATAATTTCTCTATAAGTATTTTTCCTTCATTTGGCATAATGGCTCTTAAGCATTATAGTGTCCTTCAAGTAACCCAATTTGATCTCATGCATGATCCATGTTCACTTGAATATTATTCAGATTTATGCTAAGGTCCGAAAATTTGACTCAAGAATAGTTGGATAACATGATATGTAAAACGCTTCATTTTTATTTATTGTTGAAATACCTTGATACACGAGGCTCTATGCACTACATCATCTTTGATTTTGTCGGATCCATACATTTGATTTACATCGTGCTGGAACTTTTTTAACTGCAAAAGGAAAAAGAAACTTTTGGTTAATTCATCTGCAAGTAAGAAGTTGAAGGAAGCGTTAAACAATAGCATTACAGCTATAGTTACTACAAAAGTACAAATTACATAGAATTCTTCGCTTTTGCATTGATATACTTTTATTCTTTCTGTTCAACAATATCATTATTAAGAAAACAATCATTTTTTTTAATGTCGAAAAGAAGGCTTTTGGCCTATCTTGTTTTAATTCCATACTTCCTACAATGCAATAAGAAATTTAAGATGCAATGTTTTACCATAACATAACAGATTCCAGGAGCAACCCATAGTAGATACCTGATCGAAGAAGATATTCGTCGTAACTCCAATAATCATAAAAGGTACCGATGTTGTCAATATATCAATATCCTTGAGAAAAAAGTGAAACTCCCTTCTAAGAGAATGCATAGCTCTCATAGACTGTTTAGGCAAAAGAATCTTTTAGCAGTATTTATCTCTTTCAACTTTAGCGGTGTTCACAAGCTGGAAAAAAAGAGATGAAAACTATTACTGTTCTGACAGAGGAATTTATGACTGATCGAACTTGAGAAGATGGAGCAATCAATTATTTAATAGCATATAAAAAGGTCCAACTTATATCTTTCTTGTCAAAAAGGGATCACTGAAACTAAGATCAGCAACTATAGCTAACATTGGGTACAAGCAATATAAAATTATGCAAAATATAAGTATATTCCTAGTTTAGGCTCCATTAAAAGCTTTGTTAAATAATGTCCCGTTAAAGAACCAAAAGGCAAGGAAAAGTTAGACCAATAAAATGCTTAGACTTGAATACGAATACATGATTTAATACCAATCAAATTTTTATATCCCTCAACATTCAGATTTCTACGTTTATATAAAGTATCAATGAATTTTTCAATACTGAATAGCCTTTTGAACCTACCAGCAAAGAGGAAGAGAAAAACTTCGCTGACAGAGGTAAACAAAGAATAAGCTTCTATACTTAATAAAAACACTAATAGTATCAGAATCTCTACGCACAACAAAAAAGTCAAAATAAGAACGAAAATAAAGAAACAATAGATGATGAGCCTCTTTGTGCTAGACAATATTGAGAGAATAGCAAACCAAAAAGCAGAACACCCAGCCGAGAAAATGAAAAAAAAAATAATAATAAGATGAAGAGAACTGAAAGGCTTCTTTACAGGAGTGAAGAAGGTGAGAAGGCATTTAGCAGAAAATGGGAACAAAGAATGAGGAAAAGCTTATTTGGTGTGTCTTTTGGATAAAAGACATGTGGAGTCACGTGCAGTGACCACCTAACAATTGTAGGAACAAATGGAAAGGACACCTAATGGAAAGGACCAAAAGTTTAGCATTTGCAAATTTACTCGTGAGGGACCACGACAACTGAAGGGCAAATGAGATAAAGTCAAAAATGTCATCACCTTTTGTCTTAATTACAGATAACCACACAAGTCGAAACCTTCTCTTTTCTATATATATTAAATTTATAAATTTCATATTCTTTTTGTGGGGCGGTGCTTTAAAGCAGTTATACGTAATTAAATTTAAATCACATTCATTTCATGATGAGTCAGTTCATATCAAAGGTACACGAGCGCCACGATTGGAAGGTTTCAAGTTTCAACATACAGTACATTTTGCATTTTTCTAGCTTGGCAATCATAAGAACAATTTTCTTTCTATGTGAAGCAATCAACTCTCCATGTGCATAAAAAAGTTCGTACATGAAGTGTGAAGCTAAAATATATTGGTTAGAAGAGCCAATTGCGCTTAAGTGTCATCTGTCTACAATAGTCTGATAACTCTTCTCCAGTCTTCCAATACTGGACGGCATTCTACTGGATATGCCCACAACAACCTCTGGAAGTTAAACTTCAATTCCAGAATCAAATAAGTAGAAACAACAATGTCAATGACTATATCCGTCATGCTTAATATCTTAGCAAATTTCGCCATCATAATCCTACAAGTCAAAACCACACAAACAGAATTGCCTCATGTATAGATATTAGACAAGTAAAAAGACTCTAACTGCAGTATCTTAGTTGAGGAAATAATTCATCTAGCAGAAAACAAATGGTAACACAAAGGGTTGCCAAAACAAAGCTCGACAAATCACTTTGGTTTCCAAGCAAATTAATCACAAATAAGTCAAAAACTCAGGCTTTTCTCTGTCAGTAAGCAAGTCAATACCCTTTCTTTGTTCAGTATGGTGCAAAAGACCAAAGACATACCAATGCTTTTAGCTATAGAGAAAACTAAAATTCTAGTATTCGTTTTATATTTACTAATACTAATATATTCAAAGATTTACACCAAAAGTACAAAAAATAAAGCAAGATATTCAGATGTTGAAGTAAAGTTTTGCCACCATCAAAGCATCTTCTATCTCTCCTTTCTCAACGGATTAATCTTAGACAAACCTAAGCTATCGTGTGCTGCAGTTTGCTTCTTAGCATATACGTCTTGTTTAAGAATTTCTCCCTCAGTTCATACCCTTTCTAGGAAAGTCATAAGCTTTTTTGTCAATAGAATAACTCATTTAGAAGGCAGACATCTAGAGCTTTAACATAACATATTTAATTACTCAAATACGCGGAGAAAATATGACCAATATCTTGACATAAACCAAGAGGTCTCCAGCCTAACCGAAATTGAAATATTATCCATATTTTAATGGAAGTGAAATAGTGCTCCATAATGAATTAAACATGGATAACCATAACAAAAAAAATACAATATGGGCATAATATGGCACTTTCTGTACAATATGTGTGGAAGAGGACATACGAATAGTGTATGGATCTAGAAATATTGTCCAACCACCATTAACTATTATAAATACAATACCCAAATGCATAGGAATTGTTTATATTTTCAAGCACACAAGCACAACCTAACCATCAGCAATGAGTAACTTGCTATAGAACCCAACTTGGTAGCCAACCTCTGACATTCCAAAATATCATTCAACTATGAGAAGACTTATATTACCACTTTTATACCTTCAGAAAACAAATAAACACCAATCAATTATGAAAATACAGGTGAATCAACCCTTTTTACCCGCATTGGATCCCTTTTACTCTTCAACCAAGCTACCCTTCTTTGTTTTTATTCACAGACATTCTATTTACCCCTCTATTTCTAGGCCTTTCTCTTAACTTTTTATGATTGTTGGTAGTTTCTTTTGATTTTCTCTATAGCTAGTGTTATATGGGTTTACTGCTTTGTCATCTTTAACTTATTCGATGAAGTGCAGGATAATGCTTTTATTTAACCCTGGCAAAGGGGAAAAGACACTTCTTTATCTTGAGACTCTTAGGTAAACAAATATATTTCAGTTTTGTTTTAGAATGAACTCGGTCAAGGATGGTAAATACCAATCATTTTCCATTCTCAGGTTTCTCATTATGCGAGAGTCTATCACTTCTCATTTTTCTGGGATGTCTGTTATTCCTTATTTACATCTTTTTCGTTCCTTTTTTATATTTGTTGGTGCACAATTCATAATATCTCGTATTTGTCTTTGGCTTTTGTTATAATATACACATATACAAGAAGTATAATTGAAGTTCTTGGAATTATTCGACATAATTTCAATTTATCGTTTGTACAAAAATGCTCTTTTACTAAATGTTTTGGTATCCTTTTAGTGTTGGAGATCTACTAAATATTTACGACACGCAACATAAAATCCCTCAAGATAGCACCAATTAGAGAAGAGATCGTATAATCTCCCATGTCAGTACTCTTATCAATTTGAAGCATTTGCAAGTTCAAGTTATATACGTGCATAAAATCTCTCCTCTCTTCTAGTAATTCAGAAACTTGATGTAAGCACATGAACCATGCAGCTATTTCCAAAGCAATTTTCGCCTAAGTTGCTCGGACTCTTCACTTTCAGTGCCGCACCCGTGTCGACACGACGTGGGTGTGGGTATGGGTGTGGGATCCGTGTCGGATCTGGTCAACCGATTTTGGGTACTTTGACCAAAATCAACAGAGAAATTTGGGACATATACAATGATTTTTGAAAACAAATCAAAAGCTAGGGTGATATGGAAGAAAATGGAATACCTTGTATATATAAATTTCTATGTCAGTCCTTTTCCTTTTATCTCCTTCTAAAATTCTACTCTTGTTCAATATTTTCTCCTTCTCGGAATACCTTGTAAGTTTTTCACATAATGTCTCATAATTTAGACATATTTTTATAACTCTATTTTTAAATAATTGAATTATTTTTAGCCGAATCCCCGCACCCGTATCCGTACCTGGATCCATACCCCCGAATCTTTAAATTTAGATCATGAAGGATCTGACCTCTAGATCCGCACCCGTATCGGACACCCGCACCCGAGTCCGAGCAACTTAGATTTTCGCTAATCGCATTGACTTAAAGTTACCAGGAGTTCGAACAAGCAAGAACACCAAAGTGGCAAACCATTAAAAGAGAGATGCAAATAATGAAGTCGTAAACATATCAATCAGATAGGAGACTCAACACAACCTCCGCGTAGGAGCAACTATGACTATTCAATCCAGTAACTTTGAAACGCTAATATGAAACTAAAATACGCAAACTTCACTGTATTTAGCAACAAATCAAACAGAAATTCAAGGATAAAATCTGACCAAAAGCTTCATTGCTCACCTGTTAATCAGGCTAAGTGTTTCTTTTCCATGTTCTCCACTTGAGTCTCCCTTAATCCTGATAAAAGAAAAGAAATGCAATACCTGAAGAATATATAAAAGAAGAGGAAGAGAGAGATAGAGGGTAAAAGAAAGAGAGATATTGAATGTGAAAGAAATTAGTAAATGATAATTTTACTGAAAGTGAAATGAAAGACTGTCATTTTACTTACCCGCTACGAACTTGTAAAAGCATGACTTTAAAGTAAAATATATGTTGTTTGGATGTGACTTTGTGTTTAGACAAGAAGCTTCCTAAATATTTTAGGATCAATTCTCCGTTTTCATAATTCTTGGCTACAAGTTCATTTTAGTTTATTCAATTCCGCCACTTAAAACAAAATAGAGCTTTTAGACAAATAAATTTTAAATTTAGAAATTGGGTAAACAATGCTTAAACTACATTTGGAATTGCTCAGTAGTTATTACTTTTCTTGTTTCTATCCACTTTTTTAACCGAGACAATGAAATCTGCACATCAAAATAAAAACGCTTTTCAGGACATTCAAAGCAGATAAAATACATTAACAAACTCAGAACATGTAAACTAAATGGTTCCTTGATTCTAATTTGATCAGAAAAAATATTCTCTGCCATACACAAATTCAACTTAAACATTCGATTGAATAGACTAATTAATTGGAATTTAAGGGGATATTTTAACTCAATTATTTAATGGGTAGATAAAAAAAAGATATTTAGAAATTAAAATCCACACTTTGAGTAATAGTAAAATTTTTGGAATGGCTTGAATTTTATAACTTTCGTCCCATTAACTAAAACACAGAAATATAATAATAGACACACAGTTAAAATTGAAAACATGCGAGTTGGAATGAACTGCTAGCAAGCTTATTTTTCCTCTTCTCGAATCTATCGTGTACAGGGCTCAACTACAAAAAAGATCAAATAGCTCAAGGCCATCAACTCAATCATAGTAGCTAAAACTATCCATACCCAGATTTAAATATGAGAAGCGAGAAATAAGGCCAAGAAACGCATACCATTTTCAGAATTTCACCAAATCTTGATTATGGCGGAAGATGAATTAATCGGTGAATCTCCACGATTTTGTGTGCTTGCCAGAAAGTCTTTGATGCCATAGAGTCAGAACTTTGTATAGAAATGATTTAACATGACAAAACATTCCAAAAAATTAAACGAACAAACAAAGTAAATAGCAGAGAGGATGCTAAAACTCAAGAGCAATTAACAGAACTAATAAAGGTAGAGGGAGTTCTAACCAAATAAGATAGGGAAGATGCTAGAGTAGGAGAGAGAGAGAAGTGGAGTAGTGATACGTGGTTGTTCAGTTGTAGGTCGACGGACACGTTGCTTAGGTAATTATATTGAACAGACAGATATGCCCTCAGCTAGAAAAGTTTTGACATGAAGCAGCCATGTCGAAACTCTTTCTATTCTAATATATTGTAATAATAATATTGTTGATTTTAGTAGTAACTTATACTGTTTGGCTTACCTACCAGGTTGGGCTAGATGTCATCACTACTTGGTTGAGTTTTGGATCGTGACATAAGATTTATTATCGAAGTTATGGTTGTTATTGCAGTCACATGGAGCAATGTGTTAGAGTTCAGAAGCACCTAAGTTTATGTAAGGTCCCGTAAAATTTTACCAAAAATCTGGGGTTTCGTGATGCCGAAGTAGACTTATGTGTTGATGATTGTAGAGATTCTTCGCGGCGAGCCTGCGAGTCGCGGTACGGACTTTTTGGGTTGAAGAATGCACTAAATTGTTGATGAAAATTTTTGGCAGAAGAAGGCAATTATGAGGTCCGTTTCGCGACCGCAAAACCGTTCCGCGAGCCGCATAAGCGTCGCAGAGTGAAGCAGAAACTTGAGTTAATTTTAGGACCTTTATGCAGTCCATTATGCGGCCGCATAATCGTTTTGCGGACCGCATAATACATCGCAGAATAATCATAGAGATTTCTGGAGGGAAGTTCTGCGGTGCATTATGCGACCGCAGAACAAATCCGCGGGCTGCAGACCCAACCCGAAA